CGATCAGATATTTAGAGTTGGAGCTCTGGCCTCACAATCAGGAGGTTGTGAGTTTGATCCTAGGTAGAGGCAGATGTAGGGTCTCCTGCTTGGACAGGGGGTTGGACTAGATGACCTACAAAGCCCCTTCCAACTCTATTAATCTGAATTTCAGAGAAGATGAATCCACCAAAGGCAGAAAAGGACCGTCTAAGCGTTGCTGTCGTGCCTGTCGACCAGAAAAACACTCCATTCAGGCAGGTCTCCGCAGCCGGTGTGCAGGGAATAATGCATCTTCCCCCCCCACACACCCCGTGAAAATGGTTGGGGGGGTGTCTCACAACTTCACCCCCCAAAAAGCTTCAGGACCGGCAACGCTCCCTCACAGCCCCTCGTCCCTTTCGCAGAGGGCAGCAAACAATGAAGGCAAAGGCTCCTGCGGCGCAGCGCCCCCCGCCCCGTCTGGAAGTCCGCACCAAAGTCCTGCCAAGCGGCCCGCCTCTCTCCCTCTCTCACCTTGTCTGACGGCTTTGAAAACAATGGGCTCCTTGCAGCTCCGGATAACTTCCAGCACGTCGTAGCGGGGCAACCCCGACACCCGGACACCCTGCACCTCCAAGAGTAGCTCCCCTTCGCCAAGTTTGCATTCGCCGTTGTCTCCGGGCAGCGCCGTCTCCCCCTCGACCTCGGGCGGTCCGACGTAAGGAAACTCTCCGTGCTCCGCTCCGCCGAGGACGGTGACCCCGAGCTGGCCCTGAGCATTGCGGCTGACCGTGGCTTGGTGCACTTTAGCCGTCCAGTGGTTTTTCTTCTGGATCACTTTCGACATGGCGCTCAGGTCGCCAAGTTGCGCGCAAAAGGAAGGGAGGGGGGTTTTGCACCGGGAGAGGGGCGGGTGGGGGGAAAGGACCGAGACTGGAAACCCGACGTCCACCGCGGGGCTGCTCCGGGCAAGGGATCCCGACCGGCCGGGCATAGAGCAAAAAGCTCTCCGGCAACTTTCCGGCCGCTTCGCTCAAGCCATCACCGAAGCGACTCGGCGCGGTTCATGCCCGCAGCCTCTTCCACCGGCGCCTCCAGCGAGGTTCCCATCGTAACCAGCGGGTCGTCCTGCCCCGCTTCTCCTCCTAAGGGCTTTTTTCCCCCTGCGCGGATCCCCGCAGGTTCTCTTCGTCTCTTTCCCCGGGCAAGCGCCCGGTCCCGGATCCTTCGTCTCCACACCTGGCGCCGCCGTTGTTTGCCACCTTTCTTTGCTACTTTTCTCTCCTCCGAGGGGCTCCGATCGACCGACCGCGGCTCCTTTAAGCCAATAGAAAAGACGCCGCTTGTTTTGTTACATTTTGCTCGGGCTCGATTCCACCAAGACCGAGCAGAGAGCTCCGGAGTAGCGATAGGAACGGCTTGGCGCAGGCGCCCGGCCGACTCTCCGCCCCCCTCCTTGCTCTCGGCCCCGCCCAACCGAGGAAAGCTGGGATCCTCGCTACTAAGGCGGGCGGGAGGGTGAGCACGCGCGCACTGGCGCGCGCACTCCGGGGCCACGTGCGTTTGGTGGCGCTTCTCTCAAAATAACACCCCCCCCTCCCCAAAGGGGAATGTATCCAGAAAGCGGATCCGGCTAATGCCCAGCTGTTTGCTTGTTGTTGTTTTCTTCTCTTTTTTTTCGGTAAATGGGCGTCTCCTTTGTTTTCCAAACCTGCCCCTTGTTCCTGAGCCTATCACAATGCGTAAAAGTTGTGTGTGTGTGTGTGTGT